AAATACATGCTGATTAGATCAGATCTCAGATATCACAATGGTTCCTTCTTGGGACAAAAAGGACTTTTTGTCCACCTGATAGATGGTTCCAAACTGTTGGGGCCTTATCCCCACCTCTCCTCCACTCAGTGACACCATTCAAGTCAAGGTCATACGATAGCCTTGCAGGACTCTTTCCTTTCTAAAGGTTGTCCACCTTGGTCCTGCTGCTTTGAAATCAAACTTGCCATTGTTGTTTTTACTGCCCATGACAAGGACAAAGGGACTGGGCAGCGGGGACACACACACGGCTTGAAACGCAATAGGGCTGGGAATTCCTCTTTAATTTCAATGCTATACTTGATCTCTGAGCTGCATGACTGACCACCTTATTATCTATAGCGACAGGAGCTTATCAATACAGAATTCGCTGGGTCCACAGACCAAAGACAAACACGTCCTTTATGCAGGATGTCCCCTCTGGGCATGAGACTCGCTGCGCAGACCAACCGGTTAAATTCCACAACTCAGAGTAGGAGACTGGAAATCATTTGTGGACAGTTAGACTGGCTTAAGTAAATAGTAAAAAAAAAAAAGGAATTTAGTTTATATTAAATGCTTACATTGTTAATTTATCTGAAAAACATTTACATCTTTGCAGAATATATGAAAGTATATTAAACCTTTAGAGCAGTGGTTCTTAACCTTTTTTGAGGCACCGAACCTTTCACTGAACCCTTCTGTAGTGATAAATAAAATATTAAAAAAGTGGATCGGTGCATCCCGAAGGAAAACAAGGGTAGATCACAAACTGAAAGGACGAACGTAAAAGGGCTGCCATTTTACCTGTGTAAAAAGGATTTCTGACCTAAATGGGGATTTCTGGTTAAAACAAGGTACAGATAATAAAGTATACATTTTGGGTTTGCTATGAACAGCTGTGTATACCGTGGTAGTTTGTGTAAACACTTGTTCTTTGATCAAGTACATTTTGGAGACGACAGAGAGCTTCACTGCTTCACCACTGACTACCTTTAAGTTTCCGGTCTCCATCCTGATCAGCTGCTGTCAACCAGGGAAGAGGGCAGGTGTTGGCACCACACCTCCAGCTTTAAATGTGAACTTCCCAACAATGGAGACCCTGAGGCATCCTGTCCAGGTGTGACCTGGATTTGATTAAAGGAACGCCTTACCCAGCGCAAATAAAGCCAAAAGCTGCCCAGGTGCAGCTTTTGTTTGTTTAGTGATTTCTGCCAGGGAAGCAGCTTTTGCAACAGGCCCTGAGAAGTCAATGCACAATAAAGGGCAGACTCTGAAAGCTCGTCCACACCAAACCTGACTCCTCACTGCAAAACAAAAACACCAAATGCATTCAGGCTGTAAGTTTGAATGATTTCATGGAGTTTAATTACTATTCTGCAGAGAAGCGACCAGATGGGACTCCATACAAAGACTTCTTTCAATCTTTTGTAAGTCACAAAGACGCCTAACAATTATATTAACACGTGCAGCTTCAACCTGACTCTGAATGCCGAGACTGACATAAAGGAGCAACAAAACAGAAGCTCTTGGATGCAGGAAGAGGAAAAATGACTGATAAAAATAAACACAATAAGAACCATTGTTGCCAAATATAATTTTAACCAGTAACAACCTTTCACTACCAAAGATGGTTCAAGACACAGTCTTAATTATCTTAATTTAAATCTTAATTTAAAGAATAAGAGCTCTCAAGACATGTAAAGGGAATAAAACCGTCACATTAACTGAATATTTTCCATCTTTGACCTGTGTTTTTTTTAAAGGGTAGTGGAAAAAATCTGATCATCTGTCATTTTTACTAATCAGGATTCCTACATGGTGCAGACAGTTATAACTTTACACAGAGACTACAGGAAACTAAATCCCTCCCCTTCTTAGATTTTCATTTGTAAAATTATTTGACACCATCTTGTTTTACCTCATCACGCCATCAAGTCGGCAAAATGAGGGGGGAAGTCACGTCAACTGGTCCAACATTTACAATCTCACTGAAAGTTTGTGATTCCAACATGACAAAATGGAAAATCGTTCAAGAAGCAGTGAATATTTTTTTACAAGGTGTTGAGTGTGCTAGAAACCTTTTCCCCTTTCTTTTGCTTTAAAACCAGTTAGTGTATCCACCGATGTGCATGCTACGTACAGCACAGTGCTATGAATGAGATACCTAAAGAAACAAAAACGTGCAGACATTAAAAAGATAGTATGGAAAGTGGAAGCATGTGTCGTAAAAACGACTGCTTCCCGTTAGAGTGAAAAAATGTGCAGATATGAGGAGCTGGAATGTGTTAGCATGAAGGATCCTGTGGTTCAAGGAGGACAGCAGATAGGAGCTTATGTCATGTTTTTAATATGCTTTTAAAAAACTGGCAGAAAAGAGAGGAATCTTTAAAACGCTGGGTGGTCTTACTATCAAATTAAATATAAACACGGCTACCCCGACCATTTTATAAAGTGGATTCTGAGTGGAGAGAGGGAAAAAAATTACTGTTACTCAACTTCTTCATAAATCATAATTGTTTGCAATTTGTTGCAGCTGTTACAATGCAAACAGAACATGTTTTACATATGTATAAACATCACTTTGATATATGCCTACTGGCAAATTGCAATTAAAATTTCACAAACTATTCCTGCAGCACAAAATAAATGCCTGAAACAAGATACGGCACGCCTGCACACATGTGCAAGCGCTGCCTGGAATACATCTGTCTAATGTAAATATACCAACGAGGTCAAGCCTCGTCAAACTGCATTAAGATTACCTGTTACACAAACAGTTTCAAAGAGAAGAAGCATTAAGCGAACAAATGTGGCTTTAACTTTAAACGAATGGGGCTCAAAGGAAAACAATCATCTTCCAGATCCAATTTTTCAACCAAGAAAGTTCCAACAAGCTGGAAAAATATTGTGTCAGCAGAGCAAGGTTGGTGATACACATCGCAATAGCTGGCTTGTTTTTTATTTTCTGCAATGTTTATCTACTAATCATTTAACTTAAATGTATCTCTAAAGAATAAAAACAGAAGTTCTTTCAGTTTTTAAGTGTTAATGTTTCCACAGTGAAGATGCCGGGGGAATCCTCTGGTGTTACTTCTTCTTCTACTGTTCTCTTCATGTGATCTACTGGCTGCTAAGCCTGCAGGGTAAATGGAGGTGAAACAAAACTCCATTTTTTTTTACTCCCGCATCTCGGGAGTGAATCATTTGAAGTCCATCAGCACTGATGCAGTGTAAAGAACAATGCTCTTCACAACATGCACAATCCCTTCATCGCCCCAAGTCAAAACTAAGATCAACCTGATTACCACCAAAGCCTCCTCCCCCAGATATTCTTAAATTCCCTGAACATTTCCTCCAAATATAAATATAAAAAACTCCACATCCCTGGACAGACTTTGCACACAAACTTTGTTGTTCGGAGAGGATCTTTGAAGAGGGATTTTCTGGCTGAGTGCGTTGGAGTGTGGGCATTTATCAGAACTGCAATCTGCCCCACTGTCTACTGCAGGCCAAACCATCAACCTATCAGCAGCACCTGGATGTCGTCTCAGAAGCATCCCTCAGCAGGCCTTAATGGTGCATAGACTTTTTATTATATGATTTTGATTAATGGTGAAAGCTCAGAGGAATCTGTTTGGATTAAACATCTGCTTTGAGTCCAGATTTCACTAAGACCTGAAGTCAAAATTTAAGATCTTCACATTATTTTCTTACAACTTGCTGAACTAAACAGCTACTTATTGAAAGCAGAATCGCATAATAACCTAAACAAAAATGATCTGACTAATCCAACCAGCATTGGAGCAGAAAGCAGTTTTTCCTCACAGGACAACAGAAGCACAGCCAGGTGCAACCTCCTGATATGATTTTGGACACATGCTTAGAAATATTTGTGTTCTTCAGAAAGAACCCATGAAAGCATGCAAACTCCATGCAGAAAGGTCTTAAAAGATTTTTCAAATCCAGGCTGAGAAAGTTGAACCACAAATAGCTATGATGGAGGGGATGCCATGGTGGACCCCCGCCTCGTCATCGTTCAGTTTATGTGGATTCACATATTTGCTTTTTTTTTTTTTTTTCAGAAAGCATATCTAAAAAAATTAAACGAAAATGCAGGTTGGAAAGCTGAAACAACTCAGTAATGCTACTTGACACGCTATTGGTTGGTGTTTGCAAAGCAGCCAATCCAGAAGTGCCATTTATTTTCCTTATTGCTGATTGGTTGTGAGAACAGAAGAAGCCTGTGAATGTTAGCTTCTGTGGTAGAACCAAGACTGTTTCCACTGTACGTATTAATTCATGCTAATGTATATTTGGTGTTTGACACAGAAAGTTTCCAGCATTTTTAAAGGCCGCCTCAGCGTTTGTGGATTCATCTATGGCTGTGGGTCCTAAACCGCCACGAATACCAAGAGTCTGCTGTGGAATCGAGGCGCTTATTACATGTTCAGGGTGAAATTTGAGGGTTTTATTCTGTGCAATCTGTTCAACATTTCATAATATTTTGTAAAAAAAACACAGAATTTGCTTTTTAGACACAGTTTTCCAATATTTATAAGGAAGATAAAGTTGAAAAGGAGATAAAAAGAAGTTTTAAAACCTTATTTAACACCTTTAAAGGTGTTTGAACGGTAACTCTAATCAAGTGATCTGGACTAAAATCATATAGACCATACAGAGGAATGATGAAATTCCTTAAATCTGAAATATTATGTGAGGATTAGGATGAGGCCCCTTTAATATTTATCACTGTGGTTTAATCTAAGAACAAGGTGGTTTTAGTGAGGGGGTCTGATGGTTGGGAAAGGGGGCTGCCAGCTGGCTTTGCTGGTATTTGGGGAGGGACTGGAACTGGGAGGAGGGTCATTTCCACTCAGCTTGACACAATATGGATTTTGTTTCCATCCTAATGGAATTGCAGAAATATTTGAGGGGAATCCCATTACGTAGCAATTGGAGTGCTGTAATAATGTACTCACAGTCATTTTCCCACTGCGGTTGGCCTCTTCTCGCTCTGCCAGGGCCTTCAGGAAGTTATCCTTGAGCTCCTTTCCTGCACTTGCCAGTGTCCTGGAAAAGACAACACTCAAACGCTTGAAATGTTTCTCTAAACCTGAAAAAAGTCACATGAAGGCTTAGAGGTTCTTTATTTATGTGATGATTTTACATGCTAAACCCCTCAGAGTGCTATGCTCCGATTCTGCTCCAACTTTATTAATTAACTAAAAAAAAAATCAATGAATAGAAATAAATCTGTCCCTTTAAATGTTGGAAGTGACCGTAATTTTTCCAGACTGGCTTTAACACAATATTACATGCATTTTAACAAGGAGCTGTTAAACTATGAACACTAAAGGTTTTCCTCGTTATCATAATTTTCTTCATAGGAAACATAAATCTGCAACTATAAACCACACGACTCCGTGACTGCTTTCTCCTCCCAGCTTCAAGCTGTCTCCATAGAAACAAGGATTTTGGCGCACACGAATGGATCCGCACCTGAAAAAACACTGGCACTTATATTTGAACAGTTCACAGTGCAGTACGAGCAACAGAAGTCTGGCGCGCCGCCACGGCGGACAGCACACAACATTCATCAGATCCACAGCAAGCGGACGTCTTAACGCCTGCAAACGGGCCGCTGGAGGCGGCTCACGATGAGGGAGAAGATCTACAAGGGAAAAGATGATTACCTACAGATTACCTATCAGTTGGTGGTTTTTAATCGGTACAATAAACTAAATCAGGACAATGATGCGTACATGTGTCATTTGTCTGTTTCACTATTTTACAACTTTGGGAATTTAAGCAGATATTGACTGTGGTTTTAGAAAAAACCCAAATTAAGACCTTTTTATAACATTATCCATTAAGATGCATGTACACATAAAACCCCCACCTACTTTTTAATACTTTGCTTCAGAGCTAAAGTACTTTTATCATGCTTTAAAAAGTTCATCGTTCTTTAAGAGTCTGTAACGTTTGTAACAAAAGAGCCATTTTTCCCTCAGTTCAGACACATAAAATTCATTTGGAGCCACAAATGTTTCACAGTAACTTATAATTTTTTAATAAATATCGCTATAGCAAATGTGATATTTTAAAAGAATCACAATTTTGTTCTTATTATTATGATTTTGGGCTTTTTAAAAAAGAAAAGGATTTAGCAAAAAGAGGATGGAAGCTGTCTTTGCAACTTTGTGACAAGAAAATAGATCTAAATAAAATTTAGTGGTACTTGTAATTTCATTCTGTTGTGGAAATTCAATTACATTTTAAAATAGTTGTTGGCTTTTGTGTGTGTGTGTGTGTGTGTGTGTGTGTGTGTGTGTGTTATTTGGAGCCGTTTTGGAATATCCAAAAGCCACAGGCTGATTTAACGACTTCAACTCACATTTTTAACTAATTTCAGTCCATCTTCTGACCGCGACATGGTTTTTAAAAAATGAAAAGATGGAAATAAATTGCTATTTTTAAATAAAATAAAAGCCCAAAGAAAAACTTTAAAGACCTTTTAGCAATGCATTTTCATCATGAACTCCAATTCTTTGAGGTAACCATCCCTCCCAAAATGTCAACATTACATCTGATTAATTAATAACATTAGTTCCAGTCACAATAAATAAGTTGGAAGGATGGAGAGATGACTTTAAACCCAATTTACCCTGTAGTATAAATAATATTTGACTCAACTATGTATAAATATTTTAAATATTTGAGTCCTCGTACTGCCTGTGAAACATATTAGCTCCATTAATAATCGCCACCTTATTGTGCATCCAGTCTTTACAGTTCTGTATCTGCAGTGCAATGGAAACTCAGTGTGTGAAGTCTAAGTGCATTTTCCTAAATTATGTCTGTCCAAAAATCAGACAAGTTAGATTTGATACTTTATTTCCAATTTCATAGTGAATTCCAGAAGTGCCACATCAAGCACAGACAAACAGCCAAATGTTTATTTTAGCCTGGATTAGCATCACAGTAAAGAAACGGAGTCGCTACGTTTCCCAGAATTTGTAAGAGGATTGTAACTCGCGCTTTAGGTTTGGCCTGTGCCTCGTTGTGAAAGTGTTAGAGGAATCACACGGTGGTAAAAGTGCAGAGACGGCACATATTTGGAGGCTAAAACCTCACTCCATCTTCTGAGTGAGTGAAGGATTGCTGCTGGGTCACGGGGGCCGAGGCCCCAAAGTAAACACAGGTGTTGAGGAGCCAAGGAACCGGGGTTACCCCGTCCAGTAGCACGAGCAACACACAGTCACAGAGAGCGAACGATTCGCCGCCGTAAACATGTGGAGATTTCCGTCAGTTACCTAATTTCTTATCAAGCCTCATTTAGGAGGGATAACAAGGAAGTTACGATGAAATGATGGTTATTAGTTCCTAATGACTCGGCATTAAGGAGCCCGGCCTTCTAAGTGTCTTGTTTTAGGATTGTGGTGAGACAGGTGGGCAACATCATTAGGAAAAATGAGGAGAAAATGAGGAGGGTGTTGAACAGCCGTCATCTGGCCTGGTGGAAACAACTCGTACGCAAGAAGAACGTCTGTCCTGTAAGAGAAACGTTTCTACGAACCAGAAGGTGAAACTACCTGTTGTCATGTTGTTGGTTCAGAACATCCGTCTGGTTTCACAAGGATCCAGGAAATACAGAAAATTCAAAATGCTTGAACACGAAAGACGTGAATGTAGGTAGAAGCTGTTTAAATTCCCATTCTGAAAGCCTTCCTCAGTTCTCATCATAGACTGGGATCCCCAATTATTTATTTATTCTAGATTGTCAGAATAATGAGAACTTTTTGTGTATGAATATATATGTATTATTTTTATTCATGTATTCATAAGAGACTGGGTGTTCAAACAAATACTGAAACAATTAGATATGATTTTAACACATTTAATTTAAAGACAAAGATGGAAGTAGAAACATGTCAGGTACGGCTGAAAAAATAAAAATAACCGTTTCTAATAAAAAAGTCTTTAATAATTTATCAAAGAGAAACACATTGAATTTTATTTTAATTTAGGTTTTGAATAATAATTCACACATTTAATCATTTTGTGTATTTAATCAAACATTTATAGAAACATGGCTGCATTTTTTAGATTACAGTTTTATTTACTCAATCCCATGTATAAAGACGTATTTGATACATTAATTATTACATTATTTAAAAATGTATAGGCCAGAATGGCATTGGACAGCAATGCATCTCTCCACTTTATGTATATAAATGTAAACGTCTAAACCGCAAAAAGCTAAAACAAAAAAAGTAGCCAATAAGTCTGATGTTTTCTTGGCGTTCCATACTGTGTGTGTTACAGATGAAGTTTATGTAATGCTTTGTGCGCCTCTGTTGGGGGTGACCAGCTGTGGGTGCTTTGCAGCTGTTTACATGCGTATAAACACTCCAGTCCACTTCGTTCCAAATCCCTGAGGCCTTTTTCCTGAGCCTGAAGTGAAGTTTTTAAACTATTTACTCTCTCCAATAATTACACCAACAGTTTTGTGTTTACATACTTTAAAACACTTTTGCTTGGTTCATTCTGTGAGTATACGTGTGTGGAAAAACTGCAGTATTCCCCGCGCAGGAGAAATCAGTAGCATAATAACATATAGCTGGTAATCGAGCAGAAGACAACTGAAAGTTACTGAAGAGAAAAGATGCTACATTTAAGTCACCTGAACTCTGGCTTTGGCACAACGTCGTCACAAAGCAAAAGTAGTGAACGCTACCGCTACAGGGAATGGCGAGGAGGAGGAAGTCGGGAGAAATGCTTCTAAGTGAAGACATAACAAACCGGCATGTCGGCTTTTGGCCCCTGAAGGAAGCTTTAAGCTAACGCCGTACATACAATGAACAGAAGCTAAATTACTCAGATTTGTAATCAAATCCCCGTATTTCGGACCACACACCCCTCCTCTAAAATTACTCTTAACTGCCTGATTTTACAGTTTAAACACCAAATATATCTTACTATGCATTAATAAGCAGAGCAGGAACCGCCTTAGCAGAAGCTAACATTTACAGTCTCCGTTTTCTCCGCTCTTAGGGCTTCAGCTAATCAGCACCAAAGGAAATGAACGGCGCTCCTGGACTGGCTGTGCTGCAGCCAGTCACTGATAGTAAAACTGATTGTTTTGGGTTTCCTGTGTATTTATGGCACAATGCATAATTATAGCAACACTTATAACTGTTTATTTCCTGTTTCAGAGCCACAAGCACATCCCATTAATGATCTCTGAGGACTGGAACCACACTTCCAGTTTCTGATCAGTTTGTAAACTGTTGGGTGTTTGAATGAAGTTTTAACTAGTTTGATGAGTTTGCATCTTTTTCTTCTATTATTTATACTTCAAAAGTAAGAGTTTCCTTCTGGGGATAAAGTATTCAAACAAAGCTTTGCCTGTTCCATCTTCCTCAGACCCTCATAAGTGCCTGCAGTAATTTTTTAGTACTGTTTACACTCCAATCTGTCACCCTGTAACATTTATTCACCTAAGTGTCGGTGACCAACAGCAGGGCTGGCTTTTCATCTTTCTACCAACGTCAACGACAAATCCTCTGAGGAGGAACACCTACAACAGGGAACGCTGAGGAAATCTGATATTGCACAGCATGTTGCAACACTGCAATCCCATCTAACCTGACAGCCAAATTTGATCTGCGCTCATTTTTTCCCCTGTATCACATGTGATTATTTGCAACAGCAAATAGCTCCCAGTTTAATTAATCGAATGCCATTAAAAGGTTCTTTGAGGGAAGACGGGCTGACATTCCTCTTTAATTCGTAGCTCTCTTTCTGCAAATAAATGTTTTCTGTGAGGGTTTCATGTCATGACGGGGAACAGATGTTACACTTTGCAATAATTTCTTATTCTGCTCTGCAGATTAAAAGACTGAAGCCTTCTTTCTCCTGCAGCTTCGACAATGCAGCTCTTAGGAAAACAGCGATTTCTTAAGAATTTTTTCATTTTCCTTGGAGTGCTTGGGAAAGAGAACCTTCTGAAAAATATTATTTTGGGCTGGTGGATGTCAAGGGAAATTCCACACAGCATGACAATTTAC